AGCATTATTGAACTTCTGTATCTTTTAACCTCATGACCACGTTGAGCCTGAGAAAAAGAGAGCCTGAACTTATGGAGATGGTTGGCACAGATTTAAGCACATTTTATGAAACTCCCACCTTTGAAACACAGCATTTTTGTCACTGTTTTGACTTCTCTACCTGTTGCATTTAGCATAGACGATGATGGCAAATCAAAAGCTACACTGAATTAAGAGTTTACTGTGTGCCAATCACTGTGCTGCGTGGTTTATCTACTGTATTTAATTCTCACAATCTCACAAGTGGGAAATAATAATAATAAACAGCTTTGAGTAATTATTATGTGCCAATCACTGTTCTAAGTAATTTTCACACGTTCATTCATTAATGTTCACAAGAAACATGTGGCAAATACTAGGATTATTTCCATGTTGCAGATGGGAAACTGGGAACTGGTGCTGCTCCTTACTAGTGGGTAATAGAGCAGAGCTTTAGGTGAGAAATCCTGCTTTTCCATCTGTTTTCATCCTCCCTAGCAAGGTACCCACCCCTACCCCTTTACACAGCAGAAATTGAGGGAGTACCAGGTCCAGACTGAGGCCAGTCTAACTGCACAGATAAAACTTCTACCAAGAAAATAACAGAAAAGGTGAAAAGATTCACCCCAAATGTCAAAGTAGTTCTAAAAATCCTCATATTAAAGATACATGCATCACTGGGATATTGTGCTGTATACCAGAAATCAGCACATTGTAACTGACTATATTTCAACTAAGAAAAATGTTGAAAAAAGATTTACACACAGAAATCAAAAACAAGAAAATAAACCGCAAAACCCACATACATGTGGAGGCCAAGCAATATGCTACTAAACAACCAATGGGTACCTAAAGAAATTAAAGAAGAAATAAAAAATACCTGAAAATGAAAACACAATGATCCAAATTTTGTAGGACTCAGCAAAAGCAGTTCTACAAGGTAAGTTTATAGCAATAAAAGCTAACCTCGGGAAATAAGAAAAATCTCAAACAACCTATTCTTATACCTAAAAGAACTAGAAAAAGAAGAATAAACAAAACCCAAATTTAGTAGAAGGAAAGATATAAAGATCAGAGAAGAAATAAATGAAATGCAGAATAAAAAAAATAGAAAAGATCAATGAAACTAAGAGCTGGTTCTTCAAAAAGATAAAGAAAATTGATAAACTTTTAGCCACACTCATCAAGAACAAAAAAGAGAGGGTCCAAATCAATAAAATCAGAAATGAAAAAGAAGTTACAACCAGCAGCACAGAAATACAAAAGATCGTAAGAGACTACGACAAGCAACTATACCGCAATAAAATGGACAACCTAGAAGAAATGGTCAAATCCTTAGAAATGCAGAATCTTCCCAGACTTAATCAGGAAGAAATAGAAAATATGAACAGACTAATTACCAGTGATGAAATTGAATCAGTAGTAAAAAAAACAAACTTCCCAACAAACAAAAGTCTAGAACCAGAGGGCTTCACAGGTGAACTCTACCAAACATTTAAAGAAGAGGTCAAACTATTTCAAAAAGTTGCTGAGGAAGGAGTGCTTCTGAACTCATTCTGAGGCCACCATCATCCTGATACCAAAACAAGAGAAATATATCACAAAAAAAGAATATTACAGGACAAAATCACTATTGAATATGGATGCAAAAACTTAAACAAAATATTAGCAAATCAAATTCAACAATACATTAAAAGTATCATACACCACGATCAAGTGGGATTTATCCCAGAGATGCAAGGATTTTTCAATATTGGCAAATAAATAAATGTGATACACCACATTAACAAACTGAAGAATAAAAACCATTCAATCATCTCAATAGATACAAAAAAGGCTTTTGACAAAATCCAACATCCATTCATGACAAAAACTCTCCAGTAAGTGGGCATAGATGGAACATACCTCAACATAATAAAGGCATATATGATAAACTCACAGCTAACATCATATTCAATGATGAAAAGCTGAAAGTATTTCCTCCAAGATCAGGAACAAGACAAGGATGCCCACTCTTGCCACTTTTATTCAACATAGTTTTGGAAATCCTAGCCACAGCACTTAGATAAGAAAAAGAAATAAAAGGAGTACAAATTGGAAAAGAGGTAAAACTGTTCACTGTTTGCAGATGACATGATACTTACACACAGAAAATCCTAAAGAGGCTACCAGAAAACCACTAGAGCTCATCAATGAATTCAGTAAAGTTTCAGGATCCAAAATTAAAATACAGAAATCTGTTGCATTTCTATACTAACAACAAAATATCAGAGAGAGAAATTAAGGGAACAATCCAATTTACCATCACATCAAAAAGAATAAAATACCTGATTGGAAGAATCAATATTGTTGAAATGGACATATTACCCAAGGCAATCGACAGATTCAGTGCAATTCCTGTCACAATATCAAGGGTATTTTTCACAGAAACTGGAACAAATAATTTTAAAATTTGTATGGGAACACAAAAGACTCCAAATAGCCAAAACAATCTTGAGTAAGAAGAATGGAGCTGGAGGAATTATGGTCCCTGACTTCATACTATACTCCAAAGCTACAGTAATCAAAACAGTATGGTATTGGCACAAACACAGACAAGTAGATCAATGGAACAGGGTAGAAAGCCCAGAAATAAACCCATGCACTTGTGGTCAATTAATCTACAACAAAGGAGGCAGGAATATACAACAGAGAAAAGACAGCCTCTTCAATCAGTGGTGCTGGGAAAACTGGACAGCTACATGTAAAAGAATGAAATTAGAACATTTCCTCAAACCATATACAAATATAAACTCAAAATGAATTAAAAACCAAAATGTAAGACAGAAACCATCAAACTCCTAGAGGAGAACATAGGCAGGACACTCTTTGACATAAATTGTAGCAATATTTTGGGAGATCTATCTCCTAAAGCAAAGAAAATAAAAGCAAAAATAAACAAATGGTGCTGCAACATGGATGGACTTGGAGATC